ACGAGGAAATTTACAGTACGGTGAAAAGCAATGGTGGCGCCATCAGGCATACCGCTACTTTGGTTTTTGCCGATTTGTATTCTATCATTCTGAATTTTGACGTATGTATGTATATGAATTAGAATGTAGGAATGTCACAGGGTGACTAACACTCATAATCGTTCTTATGTCTATTATTTGGCCAATAAAAATAATAGATCACAATCCGAAACACCGACACCCGCAAATAACGAATCCCAGTCTACAGATGAAACCGCATCATTTACAGCACCAATGTTGCATTTTCTATAGCAGAAGCTAGTAGGAATACTATCCGCTAAAATAGGTCTAAACTCATAAAACTCTAAATGAAGAATAAGAGGGACATGATGTAGACCGGGAGTCGATAAAGGATCGAGGCACTCAATAAGTGTAAGGTCAAGGTAATAAAGATAAGGTCTAGGAATCTAGGTAGTTTATTGGAAAAACTATTAATTTGTAATAGGTTAATACTTAAAAAATTATCAATAACATAACATTCACAGCCACTGTTAACATTCGTGGGATATAAGGCTAGACTATTTTCCAAACTAGACCAGTTAATGTCACACAAGTTAAAATCACCAACAATACAAAGATTTTCAATATTAGAAGCTAAAGCAAGAATATTATCCACATGCGCTTTATCTAAAGATTCAGCACTAGACGGCGGAACATAGGAAGCGCATACAAGAAGTTTAGACAAGCCATTGACAGAAACGCAGAGCTGATCCAGCAGGGTATCCGCGTTCACCAAATGGACAAGCGAGGATAGATAGTTTCGTCGAACTGCTATGAGCAATCCACCTCCTCTAGAGAGTCCCGTTTTAAAATAGCGTCGGTCTTTGCGAAAAACGTTGCACAAGTTGGCATCAAAAAACTCATTATCGAAAAAATTTGCATTGATCCAGGTCTCAATCAGTATATAACTATCATAATCTGATTGAGAACTCATTTCAAAAAGTGCCTGAGACTTTGTTCGGAGGCCGGAAACATTTTGATAATATATTTTAATTGCTTTTCCTACCACAGGGTTTGTTATGCCTCTTTCTGAGGAGCTCCGTTCGTTGAAAAAAACGAAATGGACGAATCAGCACACTCGTTGGCCATATGTCCGCCTTAAGCAGCTTCTCGTAGCCGCAATCCAGAATCCCCAGTTTGAAGTTCATTTTTCTGAGCTTACTAATATCAGAATCCTTCTTTATGAGCGGGTAGCAAACCATCCACTTTTTATCGATTATAGCTGACTTAGAAGCATACGACAAAATATCAGCAGCGGTTACACTAGGCGAGAATGAAGATATATGCAGTAGGCTGGGTCAATTTTTTTTGAGGAAAATAAAAGGCTTTTTACCGTATTGTAATAGTAATATTATGATGTCTTAGGTCTAAGGCAATCGTTATAGGCCACGAAACATTTATTTAAAACTTATCTTTAGCCCGCGCAAAGGAATCAAAGTGTATGAATTTTGAAAATGAAACTTTGGCTTGTAATATCTATAGAATGCGTTAATTGCTTTAAACAGGACGATGTATCAAGTTAAGAGTTATTAAATTTAGTACCTCACGTTCATTTATCATTTTTCAACAAGCCTACAAGTATTAAAGATATTAAGATAAAACTTACAAAAACGACAATTTTCCTTTATGAATTTAAAATTCTTCATTACTTCAGCAACAAAGTGAAAAATGTAAAAAAGTGAGACGAGATTTATTTCAAACGTTTTAATGTTTTCGGATGTTTATATAACTGTCGTTTCCCAGCACTGAACTACCTAATTTCGTCTTGTCCTTCCATCCTTCGAATTCGCCGCAACAAAGTATGAGAGGGCAAAACGAAATTGGCAGTTACAGCACTAGAATCCAGTTGATTGCAAACGATTTCATTGCAAAATCAGAGCGCGAACGAGTAGCAAGGGCAGCACTTCCCCATCGCCATCAATCAACATTGTCAACGATCAACGCACATACCTGCATTTTGTTCAACGTCATCTGTATTTGATTTTGCATTACATATACCTAATTTGTTCAAGTCTTTAAATCATTAAAAGTACAAAGTATATCATTTTAACATATTAATCGAAGTCTTTTACTTGCCGTCGCCACAATAATATTAAAAGGACCATGGACTTGGTCCCGCCGATTTGATCAGTTTTCAAGATCGTGGTGAATGAAGTCAAACATGTATCGTCAAAGATTAGGAATCGTTTGATAAGTTAATAGTAGTTTCAAGCATATAAGTATTTACATACATCAACATAATACAATTAGGGTGAGAAACGCCCATTTTAAGTCCATTTATGCAGTCTTGAAAATTGTTCGCGGTTTCTAAATCTGTCGTTATATGAAAGTAGGGGACGTGCAATAAGTGTTTAGATATACATACATATTTTAGTTAATTCCATTATGTGAAAAAGTGACTGCAGGTAAATGCAATAGTATTTAACATATCCTGGGAAATCCTTTTGAGGACTCTCCAATTGGACGATATTGCTTTGCATTTAGCTTGAACGAAAAGTCACTCCCGACACACTTTTCTGGAATCCGGTTATATCATTTAGAAGTTATTTATACAATTGAAGAGAAATTTTTTTTAGAAAAAAACTGGAGATCCACTTAAGTTTTTCGATATAACTTTGGTAAATGTTACTCGATCGGTACTTAATAATTACCAAATTGAAGGCGAGACTTAATGTTATTGATTTTTGATAATAATATTATTAAAATCTTTCAGATTATAAACAAATTATTTTAAAATAAAAAAAAATTTTGAACAATTTTTTTTGTCATTTTCTTATATTTGCAATTTTTATATTGTATGCATAAACATAAGTAAACTATTAATGTGTTTCTAGAAACTGTGCCTGTTCAGTGTTTCCATACTCATTTGCATAAACAAAAATTTTCCACGATGATGGCAAATAATGGCTTTTCTATTAGAGTTACCGAAATTGTTCCTAAATTTGCAAAAATTCGCAAACTATAGCTAATATTAAAAAAAGATTAGAATATTTGGAACCAGCGACCTAAATGCACGCCAGCAATATTAAAGCTGTTCTTTACATCTTTTGACAATAGGCCAGTGCAATTATCAAGGGAACAATTCAAATTTTATTGAAAACAAATAACCTTGAGATTAAAGATAAGCTAAAGGGCTGCGAGAAATGAAATTTGTCTTTATCTTTTGCGTAAACGGATTCATTATCAAATAATATGCACCAAACCTTTTTGCCGAACCCAGAATTTTCAACAAGAATTGGTCTTATTCGACTAGTGTGCTGTGGGTCACTTGCGATCGATGCGCGGGCTCTTACAACTAAAATAAAATACTAATATTTTGCAGGCTTGTTGTTGACTTCATGATAGAATATATTTTCACTATTACCAAGGGATTTGAGAAAAAATAGATTTTCGACCCGCCCTAATATGCAGCCATTTGAAACCAGAAATAACACTCAGCTCATTGGTGCTGCATGAACCATTTGATTTAAATTACGATATGGGCAAGGTACTTGTATCATACAAATAGTGTGTACGTATTCCCAATTCATTTTCAAACAAGTCCTTTATTTTACGTTAGTTAATATGGTCACCATGTCTATAAAATTGATATCCAGAAATCCGGCCGGACTTTAGCCAGTATCCTGCCAGATTGTCGGATAAACAGCCTCATTGCGAGAGTCTGTCGAATGCAAATCGATTTTCGAGAGTCCAATAGTATCGAAAATTTCATATCATTGCCTAAATTTCGGCTCGACTAGTGTATTAAAACAGAAAAACTTGGCGGCACTGCATCGTTTTCGACTATTTTTGTCGTTTAGTTATTTCAGTACGGTAGTAGATGTTGACACGACTTACGCAATTAGGCTGAAAATAAAAACGGCCGGATTGTTGGATAACATAAAACGGCTGGATAAGCCGGATTCCGGATATATTTGGAGCCGACGGAGAATAATTCGAACAGAATTTATTCATAAACTAGTGCTCGGAAATTTGAATCTTTGTTTTAGATTAAAGTTTGGTCCTTCGACTACACAGTATGGTAAAGTTTTTATTTTTAGTTGCGGTTCACGCCGTTGGACACAACAACCCAAAATCATTGTACAAATAACTAAGGTGTACACTTTTTTAATCAGAATCTTTAGAAAAAAACTTTCAGAGGCAGTTTCGTAGCCCACATAACTCTAGTTTAATGAAGTTGCCTTCAAAAAATACAGTTGATTATGGCAATATTTTTTTTGCTGGCAGTGTCTTCCATATAAAAAAAAAACTTGTCGAACATATGGGATTTTTTACCATCTTGAAACTTGCACTCCTTTATAATGCAATAAAAAAGCTAAAAAACTGCGTACCGATTTTTTTTCAAATGATTCTGATTAAAAGGTTTGAAATGTTATTTTGTATTGTTTTAGTTGTATAACCAGCTAGGCTTTCATAAAACATTAAACAAACAAAAGAATTCCCAAAACTGGTCAAAAGATCGCACTTTTACTATTTCGTGGGCAACTGTATGTTGTAAATAAACATACACATAAATGATGAATCACAAAGTTCGAGAAAAATTTACCAGAAAATACGATTCTTTATTAGACAAAATTTCATGTATGTATGTAGAAATTTGTTGTACTCACCCAATCCATATTTGTAGAAAATTTCTTCTACAGAAACAATCTTGGGTTGATCCAAATGTTGATGCGAGAGTTTGTTTTCCTTTGTAGGAACTGGCAACGCTATTCTGGTTTTGACTGCTTCAGTTGTATCTTTTTTAGGCGATATCGAAGATGTTTTGGCTAAGGTGGAACCAGCGGGCTCAGTAACAGCGGCTGGCTTGGTTGCAGCTGCAATGGCAGCTTCATCGGCTGTTTTCGTACCTGTCGCGGTTGTAGCCTTCGACAACACATAATTTTTGACTTCTTCGACTTGTGAAGAAGGAAACCCAGGCTCCACTTCTGCATCTAAATCAGTGACGGGTACCGAAGTTTTCGGTAGCTGTACCAGCGTTATAGTTTCAGATTTAGCTGTATTCCCAGTAGTGTGGAAGTGAGGTGTTGCCGTACGCTCTTCTTTGAAATCCCCCAGTAGATCTTCAGATGATATAAATTTTTCATTATCCAGCTCTTTGAGGGCAGCTATTACTGGATTTTTCTTAGCCGGTGATGGATTAAAAGACAAAGACGGAGAATCTGTATCCGAGTCCTTATTGGAAGCGGAATGGGTTGATTTTCCTACACCTAGATCATCGTCATAAAAAGTGTTCGTGGTTATTGCAGGCGCTGCTGGTGCAGAAGGGGCAAACTTATTACCCACATCTTCTAAAAATGGTTGCGCAAGTGCACGTTGTTGTGTGGTATCGCCATCACTGAAATTTAATAAATCTTCTTCCTTGCCAGCTGACTCAGTTGGGTGGTTGTGTACACGTGGAACTGTAGCTGGTATAGGAGCCGCAATATCCCCAGGAGTCCTAAAGAGCCCACGTTCGGCATTAATAAAATCATGTGCATTCTGCTTAAAATCACGTTGCAACGGTTGACCAATAGACTGTAAATCCTTAGATGCATTGGAAAAGAAGTCGTCGAAATCATTACGTTGTGCGAACTTGGCATCCAACTGCACCTGTGCCTCTTTTGCACCAGCAGACATAAGTTGTACGAAAGATTGTGGATCGACGTGTTCAAAATCAATACCCCTCTGCTCATTTTCAAAGTAGTGTTCCGTGTGCGTGTTGTCATCTCGTGCGCTCGTTGATGCGCGACAACCACTACCACCTAGCAAGTCATATGTGTCATTTGTTGCTTTCTTTGCAGCTTCAGCGGTAGGAGAAAAAACATCCGCAGCGGTAGCAGCTGCTTCCTTTTTCAAATCAGCAAAATTCATATCCATTTAGTTGCTTCTTACAGTTCCCTGTAAATTAATTGAT